TTCATTTGCAAGGTGATTAAGTTAGGAAATACTTTAGTTTCAATCCCATTCATTGGTCATTGTTTACCATATTTGCAGATACCGGTTGAGCTTTGGGTGCAATGACAAACTGCAACTTGGATCTCTCATTAGTACATTTACAAGAGCTAGATCTGCACTTGTAGCAGCAGCAAATTAGATGTTTGTCAAGTTTGCTCTGTGGGAGACATTATTCTAAAGCAAGTTTGAGATCACATTTTCACATCTGTGGGAATACCATTTCTTTAAATTATTGGTATCCAATTTTAGCCTCATATTTTCAGATAAAATCCGGAAATGTTCTCTCTATCTATCTAAATATTTGAACCAAAGATTTGATGCACGGCTCTCTGTTTTACTTGTGAAATTAAAGATGAGAGCGGTATTGATTGATCCTAAAATTAGAGATTAGAGGAGCAATATAACAAAAATAAGGAACAACTTCTTCTGAGTTTTAATTATGCGGGCAGCCAAATAGTAACACAATATGAACATAAGTAGGCAGCACTTCGTGCAAAAGGCCTCTTCTCATCATGGTGATCCCTTCCTCTTTTAACATGTTTTACACGCTAGTCCCTAAAGACTGACCTGTACAACAAACTTCTAAAACCTTTTCACCCTCTTGACTTTAAATTAATCAAACATTTTACACTTTACATCTTAAGTATTTACTACAAAACTGGACTTTCAAAGATTAATACTCACGAGCAAACCAACTACGGCCATATATAGTGTTGTGCACTTTGCTTTCCTGCAGTTGCTTGTGCATAAATAATCATACCTTCTATGTGTCATCATCATTTGCCATGCCATTGGACCAAACAATCTCTATCTCAAGCTTCCTGGAGGACCCATCTTTGCTACTATCATGATTAAGGCTGAATACACCACTGTATCCTCCCTCACTAACAACTTTGTCAATCTGGATAGTCACTTTGCCAAGAGTTGTCTGAAAAATTACACCATCTTAATCAGAATTATGAGAAAAAATAGCAGTTCATTGGGATGAAACTTCTGACACTGCCCAATACAGTGTTTTACTCAGCGTAGATGCCAATGACCATATACAGATACTTATACCAGGCTCTCTTTTAGAGAGATTGTGCAACTGCCTGTGCACATATGATGATGGCCAGGGCATTGGACATCTCAAGTTTCCAACAATTGACTGATGAACCAAATACACTTGCAGAGGATGTAGTGAAAGCATAAAAATGGGAATGTCATTACCTTTCCAAAGGTATTTTTGCTTTTGCAGATGATGTGTAGTTTTTGTCCCTTTGGAGGCACATCAAAAGCCCATGTAAAGCCTTCTTTCCATTCAGGAGAAGTACTGTGGTTCACAACCTATGACAATAAACAAGATTGCTTTATAGTCAGCAAGGATCCATAAATATTTCATTAAAAAAAAAAAATCCATTTTTTTTTCAGGATTCCAAAAATTTCACAAGCATAGTTCTAACTTGCTAATAAGTTCTTCATTTAATAGAATTTCCTGAAAAGATTTATTACTCGAGTTATGGAGCAAATATGTTTCTTGCTGAATTAGTAGACAAAGCACAATACAACAAGATAACAAATGCAGTACTGTAATATTCAGAAGAAGAATTATGCACTGCCAAAACATTTAAGATTTTTAATAAAATATTAAACTTTTATATCCTAATACATGTGGATCCTTCTCTATCTTGTGTCAAACCAAATGCATGGCATCAATATATAGAAAATTTCGCTAGAAACAAAGAATAAAAAGATCTCAAAAGGTCTTAGACCATGCTATCTGAGATAACGAATAACTAGTCTTTTCTTTTTTCAATCATGACTGGCAGTGATTTTACCTTAGTTTGCCGTGGAGGACCATTGCCTATTGTCAGCCGACAAAATGCATTTGTAGATCCCATGGTCTGCTTTAGGTTATAACCACGTGTGATAGTAACAGTTAAACACCCTGGTAAGCAGTGTAACAAGCTGTCAGCCCTCTCATGGAAACTTGGCGGGCAGGTTTTCATCAACATTTGCAAAATAGGAACTGCTTCAGCTGCAATCATGGCCTGTGACTTTGCGATATCTATTGGCATGGTTGACCAAGAATGTTTTAACAAGCAGAGGGTATCCAATACAGACTCCTGAGCAGCTTCACTGCCAGATTTCAATGCTGCTACTAGACGAGGAATACAAAGGGTAGCAGCTTCAGAAATATGGAGTTTAGGAAAGTTGGTGAATATTACATTTAAAGTTCTCAAAACTTCCTCATTGATAGTTGCAGTGGACCATAGTTCTCTCTCCAGGGCAGCTGCATAACAAAGTAATTACACATTTCAGAGAGACAGTGTGCGCACATATGATGACCTTGTGCTAAGAGTATGCAAGGAACACACACACAATAGACTGCTTCTCATCTAATGTCTTGACCGCTTAAAGTAATGGACACATAATATGAATGTAAACTCAGGAACGTTGATTAGCTCAATTGTAAGCAAACACAAACTAGATTTACTATTTTTGAATCTTTTACCCTTTTTTATCACTAGATTTGTTTATTTTTTATCTGTGGAAAATAATCAACTTGCAAGAGAATAGAGAAGAAGACCTAGTACAAATGGCTTTGACAATGTGATAAGCCCAAGTATTATCTCATGGAAAATTTTGGAAACAGTAAGAAATGTATGCATGTAAAGAGTTAAAAGACCCTATCAGTTGCAAACTGAAACTAAGAGAGCATATAAAGGCATGGCCTAAACTATAACAATTTTAACCCACCCGTTAGAGATCTGATGAGCTCATTGGATACGTATTCTTGAAGTGTGTGATTGGAAAAGAGAAATTTGATCAGCAGTGCTGCCTGCCCAGCAATTTCTGCATTAGGAGACAATAGCAGTTCCTGAATTACTAATATGCCACCTGCTTGAGCAACAGCTCTCCTGTTAGTTCTGCTGCGCATGACAAAGTTCTGCAATGCACAAATTGCAACCATTGTCATTTCTTCTGTTGGTTGGTCTTCAAGCAAGCTTATCAGCGCACGACATGCAGAAACAGAGTCACTGGCTCTAGCCAGTCCCTCATGCTGGGAAAGATCCCCAAGAGCTAGAGCTGCAAGAAGCCTTCCAGATTCTGATGTGGTCTGTGGGTCTAACAAATACTGTGATAAGGGTGCAATCGCATATTTAGCAACCTTCTTCTCTCGCACACTGACATTGTTAAGTAAAGCTTCCAGTAATCTTCCAGATGCTTCTTCACACTGATGAGATCTTAGTAGGTCCAGTAAAGCATCTATGGCACCAGCTTCAGTCATCTGTTCAGCACTTGAAGCATCACTTCTTTCATGAACAATTAAGCCATTAAGAGCCACTGTAATAGTGCTTTCTATTGTGGAGTGCAACATTTTCACCAGAACTACCAAAGGAACTTTAAAATAGTACTTGGCATTGTAACCCAAAACATTTGAGAGAACCAAAGCAGCTGATTCCCAAAGGGGAAGAGGAGGTTGAGGATCATCTTGAATAATGACCTTTGAGAGTTCAAAAATACCTCCAGCGGCAGCAACTGCCTTTGGCCAACTTTTGGAGATCTTTTCCAAAGCTTTTATTGCTGTTTGCTGCAGGTTCAATATTCCAATTCCCGCAAGCTGCACAAGTGGTGCAGCTGCATTTTTTGTTGTGATATCCTGCTGAAAATGTTCCTGTGCAAGAAGATGAGTCAGCAATTCTGTGCCAAGCTGCTGGATATCTTGAGATGGGGATTCCAGAAATGAAATCAGAGGTTGAATGACTTGACTGGGAGTCAGTTTAAGAGTTACAAGACTTTGTGGCTTCTCCAAAATATTTACAAGTGCTTGCAAGGCACTGTGCTGTCCCCACAAATTGAAATCTGGACGAAGCAAAAGCAGGAAAAGGGGTTCAACTATTTTTGCAGCATCTGAACTCCTAGCAATTGCACTGCTGTTTGTTAAAATGCGGAGTAACTCCGCAATTGAGGAACATAATGAACTGGGTGCATCAGGGAGTAACTCAAGACAATTATCAATAATCCCAGCTTTGACCATGTCCAACTTGCACGGCGTACGGTCTTTTCCCAACTTTATGAGGGCACATATGCTGGACTCAATAACCTGAAGGTTTGTCCCAGAAACCAAGCCAATGAGGAGATCGACAATATTGTCTTTTGCTGCAAGCTCCACTTGCTGTTCATCATCCAACAATCTCTCAAAAGCAAAAATCCCTGATACCACAGCTGTTTCCTTATTAGATTGCATAAGTAATATAAGGTGCTGGATGCATTGTGAAGCAACCGGACTTGCTCTGTATTTTGAATTTCCAAACAAAATAAAACATAGTTGTGCAGCATTTCTCTTCAAATCTAAGGATGATGCAGAAGATAATATTTTGTAGAGACTATCAAGCAGATTCCCTTCTGTATCAGCCAACATAGCAGCTTTTGAAACATTTCCTGAAGTTAGTTTGAACAAGGCAACAAGAGCAGCCTCCTGCTCACTCTCTGATGCAGAATTAAGCATATCAATGAGAGGTTGTAAAGCCTGCCTGGCTAGTTCAGAATCTCTAATATTATCAGCATCAAAGAGCTCATGGAGAGCCCTTGCAGCACTGAGTCTGGCATTTCTTGAACCCAGGCGTAGAACAGCTACAAGTTGATTCAAGGAACTAAGCGATGATTCATATCGAATAAGATCAGGATTGGTAAATAATATTCTGAGTAATTCAGTTATGATGGCCTCTGTTGAGTCTTGTGGGCTCAAAGACAGGTATTTTGTTAAGGCATCAAGAGCTCCAGCTTCAGCCATGATTAACTTATTTGCATCACTTCCATCTGCAATGCGGGTTAAGAGTTGAACAGCAATTGGAGGGGCTCCAGGTCTATCCGGTATTGGTCTCAACAAATCCACCAACATAGGAATATATTTGCGTGCAGTAGAGCCAATTCTGACATCTTCAATTTCAAAAAGCTGTTCCAAAACAGCTTGACCAGGATTTCTCACAAGAGAAAATTCTTCTGACAGGGCAATGAGGTTTGGCATATCTGATTCTACATAACCAATTAATGTAATTAATCCAGCAACCGCACCTGAATTAGCAATGGCAAGATTTATTCCCTTACTTCCATTAAAAACAAGACTAGCCATTGCCTGGGCAGCAAAAAATCTATCGATCATTTCATCAGATCTCAACAAAATTGCTAGTGAAGGAATGATGCACAAGGTTGCAGGAGACAAAACAACATTTGCATCTTGGAACAGAATAGCCAGTAGAAGGGCATTAATCCATATACCTTCAATATCCTCAAATTCTGCCTGTCAAGAAACATATTTTTCAGCTCAGATATCAATCTTTGACCCCAAAATGCACTAATAGTGTACCCTTTGATCATGAAAGCAAAATCCAGCAACAAATAAAAAATATTTAGAAAAAGAAAGTAGTTTTCATCTCTCCTGTGAGGAGCTAAGAAAACATTTTTAAGTCTTTAAAGATCCTGAAAGGAAAAAGTAGCCTAAACAAGATTTCCCTGGTTAGCAAAAGAAAAGGGTGGTCTTGTTATGGCAAGAGGCTGTGCTCCTTTTGCATATCTAAGTATGTGAGTGAAAGAGAAGCTCATATGGCCATACCTGCGAATTGGATGCATAGCTTGCCAGCTTGTCAGAGAGGGCGTCAAGTCCACCAGCTTCCATTGTAGTAAGCCTGGTTTTTGGGTGAGAAAAAGAAATGATTGATAATAACCACAAGGCAGCAGTACTACCCAAGATAGTTGCAGGATCAGGAACATCAAACTCATCCCCTTCCTGGAATGCTGTTCTTCCCATAAAACCTCTAGGAGTTCTGACTTCAATTTCCAAAGAACAACTGGAGTTCCCCTTTACCATATCCACCAAAGCATATATTAGAGGATTCAAGCAACCTGATTGATCAAGCATATCAACTGACTGTTGCTTGTGTTCTTTTACAACACAGATCAGTAATCCAGCTCCTCCAACTTTAACTTCCAAACTAGCAGAATTCATTATTCTATTAGCTAGGGAATCAATAGACTGTGGCTTCGCAACCAATAAATCACCTAGCATAACTGGTTGATCCTTGCAAAGCCTAGACAATATTTCTATTATCTTGTCTTGCAATAGAGGAGGTCCCTCAGCAAGACATTGTATAAGAGGCTCTAAGTTTGAGGGAACCTCAGCAAGGGCAGACCATGAGGGATAGGCAAAGTTCACACCATGTTTTGTTCTAGCTAAAAGACCAACAACCTCTAAAACATCTGCAGCATCAGTAGCATGCATATCCATTGCATTCAAGGAATCAACAAGTGCAAGAACAGCAAAGCGATACTGAGCATTTCCTGCAAGCACATCACCCACTGGAAAATGCTTTAATAATTGATGAAGAGCCCTTGATGCATTCTTCTTCCCTTCTGAAGTTCCATCACCCAGCACTCTTGTCAAAGCCACAACAACATCTTCAGCCAGTGCTTCTGAAGCAATCTGGGGATCAGAGAGGAGATTGGCCAGTGCAGCAACTGCAGTCTCAGCAGAATCAACGGCAGAAGTTTTTGCCAAGTTAATTAGGGGTTTGACATCCCCTGCAGTGATATAAGACATCTTATTTGCAGTTTTAGCGTTGGTTGGTCGTGACAGGGCACCCAATGCTCGAGCTGATTGTGTTGCAACAACTTGCGTATTGCTGGTCAAGAGCTTCATGCAAGGATGAACAATTTCGTCTGTTGCAAGATTATCACAGATATCTTGTCTTGTGCTAAAAAGATCAGCAAGAACAGAAGCTGCATTCTCTTGGCTTTCTTCATTTGAGGAATTGAGCACCTGAACAAGAGATTTCAGTCCTTTGTTAGCTGCGGATCCCTTCTTTACAAGATCAGCGTGTGATGCCATTGTAAGTACATGGCCCAAAACTCTGATTATGTGGGCCTTAGAGCTTGGAGTATCTCCTAGAAGCAAAGCTAGTAGCTGATTGATGGTGGCAGAATCAGCTGTTCGGATAAGTTCTGTAAGGGCCTTAGCAGAGGCTTGTTGCCCCTTTGGTCCACCACTTCTTAAAAGCCATAAAAATGCTGGTACTGCTCCTGCACTTTCAACACAGGCACGTATGTCTTCACTGTGGCAACACAAATTCCATAGAATATGTGATGCATCCTCCCTAGCCTTCTGAGATCCTGTCTCCAATAACTGTACCAGTGGAGGAATGCCACCAGCAGCAGTGATAGCCCATTTGCTGTCATCAACCTGCTCAGTCAAGATAGCCAACAACTGAACTGCATATTCTTGATGCTGCTCACTGGATAAGCCCAGCAATGATATAAGTAACTGGACTCCTTCCCGCTTGCCAATGGACTCCCAAACACCAACCCCATCACAGCATAAGCTGGTTAAAGAAAGTATTAAGTACTCTTGCACATCAACAGCAGCCATTGTTATGAGTCCAATAAGCACCTTCTTTGCTTCAGCATGATTTAACCATTCTGAGAGATAGATGTTACCATACAGACTTGCCATAGCCTCAAGGACCCGCTCTTGGACTAAATTGTTATCACGAGGTTTTAGCAACATGACCAATACATCCTCTATCCGTGTTGCATCAAAGTGTTCCTCATCAACACCATGATTTTGCTCAAACACCATGAGTGCGTAGGCAAGTGCTCCTATTATATCAGCAACAGGTGCAGCTAGGCGATTAGACTGGGATAGTCCTCCAAGATAAAGTACTAACTTAGACATCCCCCCATAAATATTTGCCAAAGTCCGTGTTGCATGGCTCTGAAGAGCTTGGGCATATTCTCCTTGCATGCACTCCTTAGAAGGAGCAACAATAGCCCCAATCAAAACCGGAACACCGCCTGCTTCTACTACTACTTTCTTAGCCTTGGTTGACTTTAAAGAAAGAGCTTCCAGAGCATCTGCTGCACTGGCACGAACAGAAGCATCATTATTCTGACCAACAAGCTGAAGCAAAGCTTTGACAGCTCCAGATTCTATAACTTTGGGAATGCTATCACTGAAAGCCAACATCAGCCTGGCTAAGAGGGAAGCTGCATTGGACTGAGCAGCAGCATTATCAGATGACAGAAGACCCACAATAATATCTACACCTCCAGCTTCAAGTGTTGCTCTCCAATAACCATCCTTCTCACCACAAAGGTTCCTCAAAGCCCCAGTAACAAACCCCTCTACCACTTTATCCTGTTTGTTCTGTGGATTAAGCTGATTCCATAAAGATGGTACCACACCTTCTGTAACAAAAATTTTCATGCCAACATGATCATCAGAAAGCCCACCAGAGGAAACTTCATATATTGCTTCTGCAGCTGCCTTCCTTGCCTCATTTGATTCGGACTTCAGAAGTGAGAGTAATGGTGGAACGCATCCTCCGAGGAGCACCTTTAATCGCAAGTCCTCATCTTTGCATAAGACACTCAGAGTTGCAGCAACATTGACTTTAGCCACTGGTGTGCCATTCCTGAGAATTGATATGAACAATGGCATCGCTTGGGCATGGGAACCAATCAGTACTCTTGCTTCCTTTCTTGTTCTAGCAATGCCCAGCAAACGGGCTGTAATAAGTTCTTTCTCGTTTGGGGAGGACATGTTGGCATGCAGTTGCTCAATAAAACGAGCAACAATAGCCATTGTATTTTCTGGATCATCCATTCCATCTGATCCATATGATTCCCTGGATGCAAAAGGTAGAGTCACTTGTAAACAATTAGCTCTTGAAAAATCCAATGTACTTCTTTTTTTTTTTTTTCAAACAATTAATCAACATTAAGACATTATCCCAGGAAAAGAAAAAGATCTAAAGATTTTCATTATACTCAAGAAACTTTTTTTTGGCCTTTCGACTAATTAGCATTATGTAGATTCTTTCTATGATTTGCACATTACTCTCTTCCCATTTACAAATTTTGGTAAACTTCTTGCATGTTAGCTCACCTAGCCTGGGAAGAAGTTAAGAGTGTATGATCTTGTGATTCAGGGGAGGGAGACCTTGACATTACTGACAAATGCCACTTTAACTTGCTCCTTAGCTTCCTGCATTCAAAGTATCATGTTTTAGTAAATCAACTAGGAGTGATAGATAAAAGCCATAAAAAAGATGCTAGGAAACCCCAACACATTCGTTATAAGCAAATTCCACATTCACCAAGTTTTCTAATTTTCCATTTCAGAAAGCCTCTTGCTTTTTGACCACATTTTTCAGAGGCTCATGATATGTTCCCAATATTCCCATAAAAACCTAAAACTTGCCAAAGCATTAATAGAATGACCCAACAGATTATCCAACCAACTACTCCAAACACTGCAAATCATTCAGATCTTCAATCTGCACTTAGTGGCCGTCTTCCATTTCACTACTCCAATCCAAGAAGAAAAATACGGGAAAAGACAAATTACAGGCAATACCCAGATAGCAAAACTAAGGTAATTAGACATAAGCAACCAGAGTCAAGCCCAAATCTTCCATTAGAAGTAAAGTACAGCTGTGAAAACGAGCAAAGAAGCTACCTTGCCGCAGCAAATGCGGACACCGAAGAACTCCCTGCTTCAAGCTACCCTTTTCTCCAGAGGAGAACCAGCAGCATCAGCATCCAATCCAACCAACCTAAAATGCAGCAGTGAAATCGAAAACCCAGAATTCACTGTTTCCATATGGAATCAGATCTTCAACACCCACAAACCATGATGAATTCGATCAGGTAACGACAATGTAATAAATAAAACAATTAAAAAAAAGGGGGGTTGGGGGGTGAAATAAAGAGTACGGAGATCGGATCAGAAATAGTAAAAATTAATCAGGGAATCTCAGAGGAAAGGAATGTCCTTTTCTCAAGTGGTCATGGAAAATGGCGGAGAAACCGAAAACGCAAAGAGAAAAGGAAAGAAGAATAGAAGGAAAGAAGAAGAAAAGAGAATAGAAGAGAAAGTGCCTAAAATTTGGGAAGAAACAATATGACAGCTTCTCCTAATATACAACTGTATCAGTGACAGTGAGAGACGTCGGCATGAGAGAGAAGAACACAACAGTCTCTCAGTATTCTCTCTTCGTTTTTCTCTGTTTTTTATTTTTTTCTTTAAAAAAAAAAACGTTTTTGGTTGTAATGTCGTTTTTTTAGAAAAAAATTTTTTTTCTAAAATTATGTACTTTTTTTTTCCGTTGGAGCTATAAATTTATTAAGAATATTTTTAATAAATTTTTTTCTATAATTACTTATTAAAAATGTTTTAATAAATTTATATTTAAAAAATAAGTACCTATTTAAAAGAGTATTTACTTATTAAAGATCACTTGATATGTTATGAAATTTATTATTTTTATTTTTAAAGAGTATTTATCTATTTAATAATGATGCTTTTATTTTATAATTTAAATAATAAAAAGTATATATAAATGGTTGTCAATATTAATGACTCACTATTTATTCAAAATTTATTATTTTATAATTCTACCAATTAAATTATGTAATAATTTGTACTTGAGCTTTCGATCCATTAATTTCAGATTACTCGTAAAATATATTTTTTTTCTTAGTAATGGTTCAAATTCGATTTCTTATAAATTTATTTTAAAAAAATTATATAATAATTTTTTATTTAATCATACATTATAATAACAAATGAAAAATAGTAGATATATTAATAATACCTGCATTATAGTTATTATAATAAATTCTCCATCATTTGAAATCTATGGGTAATTATGTGTTTTTTATTTAAAAAAAAAATTACAGAACAACAGCTATTTTTTACGTGATGGAAAAAGTACTCAATTGCAAAAGACTGGCACTCGTATTTTCATGTGATGATGGGAAGAAGTACTTGGATGTACAGTTGCAGACAATTTTTGTCTTACAAAAACAAAACAAAATTTTCCGTCGTTGTTTTCAAGGTAACATAACAATTTTTTTACTTATTTCCGTCCCCGCGCGGTCTCCAACACTGTCGGCAAAACTTCAAGCTCTCCCCACTCCAATCCATTGCGCTGTCCTTTATCTCCCTCACCGTCTCGCAGTCGCCTCAGAATTTGCTCCATATCTTTGTGCCGGTCACTTAACTCTCACATATTCGCCGGTAAGCTCCATCATTTCTGTTTTCCTTGTCTTTTTTAGATTTTTGAGTCATGTTGATTTCTATTCTCTAGTATATGAAATGAACAGTGCAATTTCAGAAATGAGAGTTTTTATCGAAATCCCTGTTCTGAAAATTTACTCTTTTCTCCCAAAATTTTCTGTTTCTGGTTTGAGTTGAAGTAATAATCTCTTGATAAAGCATAGCATGAGTTCAATCTGTATATATTTATGTAAATTAACCTGTAAGCAATTCAAGCTGTTGGGCTGTTCACTTTGCCTTTTGCATTAGGTTGCTTTGTGCGGAGGAGTTATAAGTACCTTCTTCTTTGTATGCTTCCTCTGACATGGGGTTGTATTTAGGTTGTCATTTGATGCAGATTTTGTCTTTTTTGGTAGGTGCAATGTAGTTTTATTGCCTCCTGACATTATTGTCTTAGTTTGTCAAAGTCTTTGTGGGGCATTTGGACTTGGTATTAATTCTAATGAGGATTGAAGTTTGTTTGCTGATAAAAAATTTTGGGTTTGTTAAAGATTAAAGTCTCCACGGTGATTTAGTTTGCATTTCTTAAGGGTAAATGTGCCCATTTTCTTAAATTTTCTATCTGGCTAAGTGTTATTAGATTTAAATATAAAATCTTTTGTTATGAGAGAATTGTAAACTAGAAACCATATCTTTAGTAGAAAAGAGAGAAGCGTTTCTCTGGCTAGTTATCATATTTATATCCTCAATCTAGCTTGAATCCACACAAGAACAGAAAAGCAGAGACAAACAAGATAGTAGAGAAAGAAAAGCAACTGTTATTTCACAATTGTTTGCCTATGCTTTCTTCATAAGCACCCTAATTGATCTATTGTTTGAGTTGATCCGGGCTGTTGGCACTTGACAATGTCTGAAAGTAACCTTTAACTTGAAATTCACTTCTGAGTTGAGAATGCCAGATAGGGTTCAGGAACTGAGACTAGATAAAACTTTAGATTGTTAATGCACGGCCATATTTAAAAGGACTCTTTTTTAAGTGAACAAAAGTCCCCTTTTTGTTATACATGTTAAGTTTTTGCAAGAGGTTTTCTCATACAGTTAAGTTCCATTAATCTCTTGAATTATTTATTTTTATCAGTCCTGATTTTTGTGTAACATGGTGAAACTGAGGACCATGTTCTTATTTGATGAGGGTTTTTCTTTGTGGCTTCAAGCAGCTCTAAACAAATCTTCTGACTGCTTTCATTTGCAGTTCAGAATGACAATGGCATGGAAGCAAACAATCAACAACACAAGTGTGATCCCAATTCAAACTCCTTGTGGGTTTTCTAAGTTCTTCTCCAAGTCCACTCCTTTTGTAGGTAAGATTTTCACTTTAGAGTTTTGATGCAAAAACAAAGACAGAAGGGTTGATTAGTGGCGGTTGAGGTCTTGTACCCTCAACGGTTGTTCAATTTAGTTCTTAAGGTTCAAAACATCCATTCACTTCCTGTACTCAATTTTCTTTTATCCAATTAAATCCTTCTGTTATCGATTCTTTTAAGATTCCAAGATTAAAAGAATTTGTAGAATGTTGACATCATTTAGTTTGTCGCCAAGTAAAACAATTATCAGTAAAGCTTAAATATTACATAATGTACTAAATAAACTTTCACGTAAATTTGTAATCACTTTAATTCTTTCTTTCAGAAATCTGGGACAAGTGGAAGACAAAAGAGAAAGATTCCTTCCTCCCCACCCCTTGTTTGAATAAGCTGATTAGCTTAATTATCCTTAGCTGAGTGTTTCTAAGGAAAACTTGTTGCAGTTGCAAACCTTTTGTGAATTGGATGCTAATTAAATAAAGGAAAATATAGGTAAAGCAGAACTTTGGATTTTTTAATTTATGTTGCGTAAGTACTTAGATTATGGGTTCCTTTCCCTGGTTTCCAAAAACTCAAAAGGGGTGTAAACCCATACTCAGACTGATGACCTGAACCATCCTCCCACGAGCAGCAAGTTGTTTGTTCTTCTCAAAATTTCACTCCTTTTGTTTCCTAGGACGCAAAATACCTCCAGTTAATTCTCACTTGAGATGTGAAAAATGGGTTTGAGAATGTGTTTGTTACCATTGCAGTGAAGGTTGGGATACCAGAATTTCCTAATGGAGTAGGGGGAGGGGTTGAAACTCATGTGGCCAAGCTAATCTGAGATTGGCAACTTTCAGGAGCTGCTCTTTACTCGCACTCTTAAGCTCAAGAAACTTGGCATTCCCTGCAAACACGTAACTATTTCCAATTAACACTCATTTTAAAATTTATCATGAGTTGCATTTAGGCTTGGGATACAGTTTCTGGAGTAGTGCAGATATTTCTATAATTTTGCCTGTAGTGTATACACAAAAACTGCAGATTAGTTAATTGAAGACTAACTTCTGATCTTGGTTTGCAGAGGAAGCTGATACTGAAATATGCTCACAAATATAGGTTGGGACCGTGGAGGCCTCAAGCTGAGCCTGTGAAAGCATAGTAAGGCCAGTCTCCAGGGACCATGCCAAGATGTTAATCAGTAGCACTACTCAGAAATTCTATCTTTGGTGAAAATGGACCTTTGGTTCCAAAGAATTTGCCATCATTAAAAGAACAATCTTAAGCTACTTGGTTAATAATCAACATTATATGCCAAAATATATTACTACATCCACTAATTTGATCTCAATGTGACTATTGAATTTTATTGTGAAATGAGTGTGTGAAAGGTTGAGAAAATGTGTAAATAAGGATATGGACTTTAAATTTTTTTTATTTAAAAATGTTAATTTTGCTCCCTTTTAAATAATAAACTATAAAATTAATATATTTATTTACACATCTTCTAATAAAACTTTACTAGTTTTTGGCCTAACATGATTTGTAGGTTGAATTTCATTTGCAAAAAAGAAAAATAGGCTGAAAAAATTTAATTATTAATCATTTGAATCTACAAGTGCCATAAACCATGACAAACAGCTAATAAATTCTGGACTTGTGATGGTATATATACCATATTATATTATATTATATTTACTACCAAAGTATATCTTAATTAATTTTTGTAAATTTAAAGACTAATTTTTCAAAATAATTTTAAAGACACATTTTATATATTAATTTTTTTTGTACATCTAATTATGGATTGTACAAATCTTATCAAAAAAAAAAATTATGGATTGTACAAAAAAAAAATCTCCCTTACTCTTAAATTTTTTTTCACTCCACTAAAAATTAAAATTTAAAATCTTTAATTTAAAGTTTTAAATTTTTAACTATTAAATCATTTTGTTGATATGTTTATATATTAATTTAATACATTTAATAAAATTAATTTTTACATATATTTTGTGCTCTATATTATTTTGCCCCAACCCCATCTCAAAATTGTAGTTTTTTTTTATTATTATTATTATTTTCTTCTTTGGATGTTTAACCTCAAAATTGTAGTTGCTCATTTAAAAAATAATAATAATAATCCATAATCTGGAGTGACCCCCAAGCCAAAGCCTTCTACCTTCGAACGGTTTTTAATTTTTTTATAGTCTTCTTCCTCAGGGCTAAGCTTTTGCGCAGATCAAATCAGTTTCTTCAGTAAACCCTAAATTCTTCCGATGTCGGTACGTCCTTTTTCTTCCTTCTCTTTATTAGAAACCCTATGTAACTAATCTCTTGTTACAGTTACTATTCCCTTAGTGTGGTTAATTTTCTGGTATCTGCAGATCTTCGAGTACAATGGCAGTGCTCTGGTTGCCATGGTCGGCAAAAACTGCTTCGCAATCGCCAGCGACCGGAGACTTGGTGTTCAACTCCAAACTATCGCCACCGATTTTCGGAGGATTTACAAAATGCACGATCGTCTCTTTATCGGTCTCTCTGGCCTCGCCACCGATGCCCAAACCTTGTACCTTTCTTGTTTTAACCAACAAAATCTTCTCTTTTCTTATACCTCGTTTGTTTTGTGTTGATTTGGTTCTTTTTTGCTGCTGCTGCTGAAGGTACCAGCGGCTCGTGTTTCGGCACAAATTATATCAGCTTAGAGAAGAGAGGGATATGAAACCTGAGACGTTTGCCAGCCTTGTCTCCGCGATTCTCTATGAGAAAAGGTTTGTAATTTATTTTCCATTGTTGGAACTCAACTAAGGGAGAAGTAGCTGGTTAATGACTAATGTTAGTAAGATGGGTTTTGGTTTTGCTTTATCAAGTATTTCTCTAAATTATAGCAAACAAGTGACTAGAAATTACTGAGAACTAGGAAAATTGTGAACTTTATTTTTGCTACATGCATTCTACTCTGTTAAATTCTTAATACAAAAAAGACACAAAAAAGGATCCTTAGTCTGTCCAATTTGCTAAGGAAGCACTCATCTTGTGATCTTAGAAACTGTACGTTTGCCCTTTTCACGTTGGTATCTGCATTTTCTCCTAATCTCCCCTTATGTATTCAACAACTTGATTGTACATCTGGAGAGAATTGGGAGAGATGAATGTCCTTGGAATTAGGGCTTAACTTGAAAAGGAAAACTGAGAGAATTAGTTGGATGGTTTCTAAGTCAAGATTAAAAGGTGGAATTTTATTTTATTTTTTCATTTTTGTTTTCCCTTGATGTAGGAGTGTAGGAAAAAGATAGTAGTTTGATTAATTTTGGTTTTGGACTTTTAGCCATGTATGTTAGATATAATACAAAACTCATTTTTTCTGGTTTTTATCATTGTACTTTTTCTGTGGGCTTTTGAAGTCTGGCAATATACTTTTTTTTTTTCTTTTTTTGGTTACAAAGTGCAGTTTTTATTAGTTTAATTTAATTATGATATTTGTTTGACATAAACACACTCTTTACTTCTTAGGTTCGGTCCATACTTCTGTCAACCTGTAATCGCTGGCCTGGGAGACGAAGACAAGCCATTCATTTGCACAATGGATTCAATTGGTGCCAAGTATGTTATTTTTTTTCCTTCATATGACTTTAGGAACCAAAACTACTG